TGGAAAGTACTCCTAGATCCTTCGATCCGAGAGCTTTCTCGGAACCCAAGGAGCTGACAACCAGCCCATCAGGAAGTTCCAAGGCTCCAAGTGTATTGGAAATGTAAAAATTGCTGCTTTCTGGATTCCAGGACTAAGCAGTTGTAAAAACAAAAGACAAAACCACAACTTCTGTATAACTTTTACTTCTTCCTTTTTTTTTAAAAAAAAAAGAACCATTAATTAGTAAAATAATCATTGCTACTCTACATTATTCCCAACCTGTTCAATTTATATTTGGTCCAGACAATTCTAATAATGGCAATTATTGCTTCAATAAACATCCTGAGCCAGCATTCTTTTCTGTTGTGTTTTTTAGATATATAAAAAGTTCTCTCACTCATTTGCATAGCTTCATCTTTACCTTTTCCCATTCAGCCATTGCAAAAAGCATATCTATTCAAAGCCCTTGCAAAAAGCATATCTATTCAAAGGGCATTTAGTCCATTTCTTTCTTGGCCGGTAAACCTATTCATCAATTGTTCTGCCTTGTAGATTGCATTCTAATGCTAATCTAGCGTGTTAAATATCTTTTTGTTCCCCTTTCACCGTTTTGTCATTCAGTTTATCCAGTTTTGGTCACCCATTTTATTTATTTATGCGCCTGCTCCTATTCAGGGGCTCATGTATTTTTTATTATGTTGTTTCACTGTCATGCAGTGTCAACTTAGTCTATTCAATGGGGGCTACTTGAAGGGCCGGAGGGACAAAGCGTGTACACATTGCACTGCTATTCATTCTGGCCAGCTGGATCGGCTGAAAAAAAAACCTTGTGAAAAGAAATGCCTCACAATGCACACAGAAGAAGTGCACAATGCTAACAGTTTTCCAAATACCACTGATTGGTTTCTTCACAATGAGGAGAAAGCCGCCGCTTTTTCTTAGCTCCACTTCAACAAACAACACTCTCACAAAACCTCCCAACCCTGCGTTTTGTTCCCGGACAAAACCTCCTCGACTGTCTAAACGCTCCCACTGAAGGACAAAAAAAAAAAAGAAAAGAAAGAAAAGAAAAAGAAAAGAAAAAGAAGAAGAAAAGAAAAAAGAAAAGAAAAGAAAGAAAAAAGAAAGAAAAAGAAAAGAAGGCTCTTTTCACTATTTCCCCTTTTTCCTGCAAAAGAGAAAAGAATTGGGGGGAGGGAGGGAAATTGTCAGTGAATTAATAATATCAGTCCTTTTAAAGAAAAGTGGTGACCTTTGAGATGCACTGGGTTTGAGTGAGAAAGAACAGGGGGAGAGATTAATAAAGTTTCTAAAGCACTATCTCTGCCTCTGGTATACTGGAGGCACAAGAAAAGAAACAGATACTTCAGGCGAGTTATGCTAAACACGCGCAATAAAGACCCTGCAGGAAAAAAAAAATTCTGTGCCGCGCAGCTTTCTGATTGGCTGGAGCGCTGGTCCTTACTTGCCTGATAAAGACTGTTTGGTATCTTTCAAGCTCCAGCTTTCAACAGCCGCAGCAATCGCAGCAGCCTATGGAAGCTACTACAATCTTCTTGAGAGCTGCGAACTGAAGCCTTGGAGGAAGAAAAGGGAAAGCTATTCTGTTGGGTTTCCTTTAATCTTAATTTTAAAACTTGGCTGGGCGGGTGATGGAGGCAGATTGAGAAAAGCAGTAATGACCAGTTCGTCTGGTCCCCTCTACCCAGGCTTTCGGACTGAAAGACTTCAGAACCAGTCATTATTGCTTGAGTGGAGCAACTCCACCTGTTTGCTTAAAGCCCCCCAAAACACGCCACTATCCTGAGGATGAGTGACTTGTTTTAAGCTTTTATGCAACCGTGATTACCAACAAAACGCCTTGGTTACTTCAAATCTTTAAAAAATAGTCCTAGGGACGCGTCAGCAGCTACATTAGCTTTAGTTTGATGTAGCATCTTCAGCCTCCTGTTCCCATTCTCAAACCCTTTCTACGCCTATTTTCACTGCGTTGCCCCCAGCTCTTCCATTGGCACAGATTTTAACTTTGAAAGAGGGTATCCCGATGCTGAAAACTGCTCTCACTAAAATGCGAGGTTTCTGTCACAGTAGCAAATAGCTTTGTGATGAGCTAGTCTGTGTGAGCCTGTGACAAGAGATATTCGGCGTTAGGGTTGCGGCAAAAAAGAAAAAGAAATCCTATTTTAAAAGGCCAAAGTATGTGACTCATCTCGCTCTGCACTCCCTCTCTTCCCTTACCCCTCCCCCAACTTTTGCTGTACCCATCTCTTCCCATTCATCATCACTCAGGAGCATATCGCCAAGAAAACACTGATCTTTGAGAAAATAGGGAAGAAGGGAGGGGGCGGGGGAATCCTCAGGTTGGTTGGGATGGAGCTTGAAGGATCAGGGAGGTAACTAAGATTTAGGGCGGGGGTGATTTCCAGGGAGCAGCAGGAAGTTCCGTGTTGAGAAATGATGGGCTGCTACAAAAGGGAAAGGCGAAGCCCTGAAAGGATTTAATTAACCGTATCAGGGATAATTACCCCTGGACAGTCCAAATTAGTTTTGCATAATCGCTCAGAACCATATGAATTAACTTATAATATTGCAAAGAGCTCAGGGAATAACAGGAGAGGGATTGCTTTAATTAGTGAAACAGGGTCAAACCACCAGAGTCTATTTTGCTATTTCCAAAACTTTCATGATTTAAAAAAAAATTCCAGGTTGAGGAGCACAAGTTTAAAGACTCAGGTTTATAAATATCAAAGACGAGGTTTCTGGGATGATTCAATATTTAAAAGGCCCTGCAATTCAGGGATAACAATCTTGGTGTGAACAAAAATTAAATTTGACCCTTGGTTGTTAATTTTCTCATTCTCCATTTCTTGATCACTTAAAACATCTCGCCAAAAATAACAAAATCCTCTATTATTTCCAATCTTTTGCCTGTCTAAACTCTACAACTTAGAAAATTCACTTCTACTCTTCAACGTTTGGCTATAATTCTACTTTAAATGTATCTTCGGGTGGCAAAATAAAGCTGTTAAAAGGCCAAGAGTTTTATATTGTAGTTAGTACCTATTACAATTCCAAATAAAACCTTAAAGTGTAAGTAAGGAATACACTCAGATACGTGAACAAATTACACTGATTTAAGTAGTCAGGCTCATATACTAACAAGATAAAGTGGTCAGGCAACTTTCCACTCTTAAAATGTTACTGGAAACCGATGAAATGCTTTGAACGTTCTCAATGTATTCAATGGGCTCTGTTCTACTAGTTCATGAATGCCCTTTTTTTTTTAAAGATAATACAACTACTTGGGGTTTTTATCTTCTTTCCTATTCACGATTAAAAATGTGATAAATCAGGTTTTTGGCTCTGAATAACAATGGCTTGATTTAGATTCTTAGTAAATCTATTCAAAAGTGAAACAAAGCCTGCCTTTGGAGGATACCTTACACTTCACCTGGACCAGGCAAGTAAGGGCAATTCAGATAAAAATCTTGTTAGTAACTCAACAAGAAATAGAGGATTTTCTCTTTTCCCTGCTTCAGGCTTTATTTAAACTCTTTGTTCAAAAATGAACAGAGTGGTAGCAGGATTCTAATTTACAGATATAGCTTAGAGTCTAATATTAAATTAGAAAATCACACAAGAAAACCATTTACACTTAAATGTTAAAACCAATACTTAAGCTTTTTTTACTTTATATTACATAAAACCAAAATGAAACTAAATACATGTTAGCCAGCTTCATTCACAAACAGTCAAAATATACACATTACAAAAGTAAACAAAAAACTATAATTGAGGAAGGTTCTTCTCTAAAATGTGTTTTATCATCATCTGCAACTGAATTGCTGGTGCTCTAAAAATAAGCTAATCAGGTAGGGAACTCCAAAGCACATTGAAACACTTCAAATTTGGCAGATAAAGGCTATTTGAAAATTAGAATAGACATCTGTCAAAACAATGCTATTTTTCAGTTTTGCTAAATAATAAATATATAATTATCACTCAGACAAAAAGTCTGATTTAACCTTACATCAAATTGCGATCCTGAAGTGGCTCCGCAATTTTTAAAAAATTGACTTTGAAATTCGATCAAAATGTTGGAGTCTAAAACTGACTCAAATTTAGGACAACGTAAATAACACATTTTCGATCGATGACCTAACGTTTCCACTGACATGTACAAATTTACAGTCTTAAATTGAAACTTAATGGTAATGGAAAAATAGGAGCCGTCCCCCCCTTCCCACCCACCCATTTAAGTTGTGACTGGAGTCCAAAAAAGTGAACTGAAGTCTTACAGTATGTTAAAAACACAAAAACACAAAACAAAAACAAACAAAAAAACCAAAGATCCAATTGACGACCCTCTACCTTACATACTAGTTCTTTTTCTGTGTTTCCTGTTCCAATTTGCATAGGACATGGTAAACAAAGGAAACAGCGATCATTTCATATACAAATGCCAGATTTGTGTCCATCACCTGTCAAGAATGGATCTTGTTTGGGTGTTCTGCTTGTTGGGGGGTGGGGAGAGGGGGAGAAGGACATTTGCAGAGTACAGACAGGGAAACAAAGTAGACCAGAGCAACACAGCTCCATGAAACAAGTAACAAATCAGCTTTCCGAAGCTGGTCAGAAAGCAATTTCGGGTGGAAACTTGAATAGAATGCATGCAATATTGAGCAAGAAAGGAAGAGAATAGGAAAGAAAAAAACAACAAAGGAAAACCAACTTTTAAAGACTTTTTTTCTCAACCCTAATGGGCAAAACGCAACAGGTACAGAAGTGCATAGCAGGCACCACTGATGTTCGGAAAACAACCGCCCCTCAAGGAAAGTTTGCGGTAGAAGTGACGATCTGAAATGATCTTGTAAACAAACAACCATACACACGCTCATACACATTTCACACTCGCTCATCACTTTCGTCTTTGACTCGGGTACCTATACATATTATATACGGATATATACAGACAATCACAATAAGGAGGAAAGGGGAGGAGGACATATAGCTCATACCTATACATATGTACATGCGCGGCTGTATAGCTGAGACCTCATTATTAAAGCCACCCCCTATTTGTACAGATATTTACACACGGTTGTAGCTGCTGCTGCTGCTGCACCCCGCGCTGGGTCATAACGCTGCGGCGTAGGCTGCAGGGTAAGGGTCTAGCTGAGGTTTGCCCATGCCAGGCAACAGGATATAGGCAAGGGGCGGCTGGAGTCCCGGGCTCGGCCAGGCGCTGCAGTTGCACGGTATCATGTAGCTCGGGTTGCCGGGGCTGGGGTGCGAGTGCGTGTGCCCCCCGGCGGCGGCGGCAGCGGCTGCAGCTGCGGCGGCAGCCCCGTGGAAGGCACCGGCCCCGGCCGTCGGGTAGCCCAGCGAGGACGCGTAGGGGAGCCCCGAGGAGGACGAGGAGATCTCTGCCATTTTAGAGCCCAGGTCCAGCAGAGAGTAGGGGCTGCTGGCCGCGGCAGCAGCGGCGGCGGCGGCCGCAGCTGCAGACTGCGGAAAGAAAACGCGCGCGGCTGCGGCGGCAGCGGCGGCCGCAGCTTTCTCCGGGTTGGCGAGCAGCGACTCGGGCACCAGCCCGCCCCCGGCGGCCCCGTGCAGCCCGCCCCCCGCCTTCAGTCCGTGGTGCTCAGGGTCCCCCACGCCACCCAGGCCGTAGGGCACGGGGAAGGCGAACTTGTCCTTCTTGAGCAGGGTCTTCGGCTTCCTGCGCGGTCTGTACTTGTAGTCAGGATGCTCCTTCATGTGCATGGCCCGCAGGCGCTTCGCCTCATCTATGAAGGGTCGCTTCTCCGACTCAGTGAGCAATTTCCACTCGGCCCCCAGTCGCTTGCTGATCTCCGAGTTGTGCATCTTGGGGTTCTCCTGGGCCATTTTGCGTCGCTGGGCCCGGGACCACACCATGAAGGCGTTCATGGGCCGCTTGACGTGGTCCACCGGCTTGGACATGCTCTCCGCCTGCAGCGGCTGCAGCCCGCAGCTGGCCCCCCCGCACTGCCGGCTGCTGCCGCCGCCGCCGCCGCCGCCGCCGGGTCCCTGGCCCCCTCCGCCTCCGCCCTCGGCCCGGAGAAAATCAATGTTGGCTGCTCGAGGGAAACCAGTCCAGGCACTGTAGCAGCGGGAAACTTCGCTGACCTTCTGGGGCCGGTGACTCCCGAGTGAGGGAGGAGAAGGAGGGGAGAAGCAGTGGGAAGAGGGGTCCCAGACCAGAGACACTGCTCCACAGCCCCAGCGGTCCCCCTGACTCTGGACCAAGCTGCTAGGAATGTATCCTCCTGGGAATGATAACTTATCAGATAGTCCCCCACCCCGGAGTAGTGCAACTTTCGTTTTGCTGTCGCTCGTCGTTTTTCTTCCTTTTTCGCCGGTGCCCGCCGTTGGGCACTGATTTTTTTTTCTTCTTTAATCTTTTCTTTCTTGTTTAAACCAGCGACGAAAGTTGCGCCCTAGAGTCTTCACAAAGTTCAGTGTGAATCCCGGCGGCTGAGAACAGTTAAGTGCCAAAGAGGATCTTTCTGCTTCGGAAGTGTTGGGGTCTTTCTCGTTGGTTTTCTCATTTGACAGCAGCAGATGGGGATGTTGGGGGGGTGCGGTGTGGGTGGGTGGATGTCAAGGGCAGCCCAGCTAAGTCTTGGCTCGCCACTTCAAGGCAGATCTCAGCAATAAGTATACAAATTAAAAACAAAATACTCACGGGCGGTCCTCTCCTAGGGCACGGGATGGCCAAAAAAGAACCCGAAATTTTGAACAGTCCCAGGGCAGGCAGGCTGGAAAGCGGAGGGAGCTGTCCGCTTTCACCCCCCCCAGCGCACTGCCGCGGCAGCTGCTGCCTCTTTCTGTCTCCTGAGTGTATGGGATGGGATGGGATGGGAGTGAGGAAGAGGAAGAGAGGAAGAAGAGAGACTCAGGCTGGGGTCTGGGGATCGCTTTTTGGTGGGATCTCACAGCAAATTCTCTTCTTTGGGAAAGGCGCCTCTGCTTACTTTCTCTCCGGACATTCTGGCTAGGTTGCTTCGCTTCCTGGAGGTGAGAAGTTGCAATCAGTCCCCCTCCGTTCCACTCTCACTCTCTCACCTTCTCGACTCCCCGCCCCCCCCGCCCCAGGCCCCGCGCCCCACTTCCAATACGAGGCTGGGGTTTCACGGTTTCTCTCCTCGTTGCTTCTGCTCCTCGCCTTGGAAACACGAACAACTCCCGGGCTCCCGCAGTTGTCCTGAAGCAGGGCGCGGCGCCCAGTCCCAAGGAATCCAAGCTTGGAGTTCCTCCTTTTTCCTCTCTCCTGCTGCCTTGCCGGGGACTTGCAACAACTAACTTCACCCAAGTTTTCCCTCCACCTCTGCGCCGGCGCCGCCGAAGCAGCTTTACTCCCGGTAGCTCTTCTCCGTGCGTGTCTGTGTGTGTGTGCGCGTCTGGGTGAGAGAGTGCGCGCGCGCCCTGGCGAAGTCTCTCTATCTCTCCGGCCTGAGAGCAGTGGAGGGGAGGGGAGGAGGCTGGTGGTGGAGGGGACTTAATTAAAACACTCAACCACCTCAGTTATAAAGTCCGCACTGGGGATTCCCCTCCCCCACCCGTCCCCCCCGCCCCCCTCTGAAGTCTGTTCAGCAGCTTCTCCTTTTAGGTTGTCCCTATTCCCGGTCCCCACGGCCCGCTGGAACAAACTGAAAAGATTTCAGGTAAGTACTGAGCTCCGCGTGCGTATGTGCATTGAGCTTGCTATATGTTTGCATGTACAGTTGTGTGGGTGAGTGTGTGTATATCTGTGTGCATGCGGAGGAGGTGGAGCCCAGAGCTTGGTGACAGGGAGGGAGGCGGGACTAGAGGAGCCCCCCCCGCCCCCAGGACTTTGAATTAAACAGGATTCCCTCTTCCTCGCACACGCTGTCCTCCCCTCCCCCTTTTCTCCCCCTTCCCCAGTCAAGCTTTTCACTTGAGAGCAGGTTTGAGGGAGTGGAGGGATTTGAGCTCGGCAACGAGTCTGCGCACTACTTTTCTTTCACCACAACTGGTGTCAATCCTGCCTGGCTGGGGAGCTGGCCGGGGAAGCCTCCGGTTCTTACAATCCTTGAGGCTGCTGCTGCCCCTACCAGAAGGAAGAGGAAGGCGATCAAGAATTGAGAGACTAAGGAACCATTTGGGAGGAGGGTTAGGACAGAGAAATCAAGAGATGCTTGGTTCCCTTGAAAATATTTTCCCCCAAGCAAGAAAATCATCGTTCTCCTTAGGTAATCCAGTTGTTAATGTCTGCAGATGCTTCTCCCATTTGCTTCCACTTATGATGCTCCCAGTCAGGGTTATTGGTGTGAAAAATACCTGCTAAAGCAATGAGTGCTCTTGGCAACACTTTCTTCAACAAACCAGCCCAGGCTGGAAGGAGGCATCCTATGCTCACCATAATCACTTCTTCATAAATCCGTGTTTGTTAGGTTTAAAACCAAGTCTTTGGGGCCATGTGCTAGTTTTAAAAGCACATAGCAGACTTGCAATAACTAATGTAAATGCACTGGTAGGCTGTGAACAGAAATCAATACTAAGGTAGAAGTAGGACAGTGTTACGTGTACCTGGGGGTGGGGGGGGAGGGGACATAAAACAAATCACTTTGCTAGAAGTTTCTGGATTGTTAAACAACACTGTGCCTTAGAAGCTTTTCCACTTTTTCCTTGATCAGTGACAAGATAAAAAAAATCAAGCAGCCTGTTTTTGTTTGCATATTTTCTTCACTTCTTGGTATGCTGCTGCATACTTATAACTCGATCTGTTTGGGAGCTTTGTTAACAAGTTGGCCTGTCAGTCAGGGAGAACTTGCTTGCCTTGTTTCCTTGGCATATCGGTTTTGACCCAACTCTGTGGTATGTGGAAGAAGGAACTCCTATAAACTGTTAACTCTTTAATTTGTTGCCATAAGATTTATGTTGTATACAAAATATTTCTTCGTTATGATTACACACTTAAATAAAACCTAGATGTATTGTTCAGATTGATTTAAAGTTGGACTTGTTTCTGAACTAATTTCAAAGAAGGGGATTAGAATAGTTGCCTTGATTTTGAACTGTCCATTTACTTCTTTCCTGGTGAATTTAGGGAAGGATGTCAGGAAAGACTGATAAGGGTATTTATTCATTCTTTAAAAGTCATATGTTTAATTATATATTTTTACAATATTTGATTTGCATCAATTATGTATTGGTAAAGTTATTGGATTGGTTTTTTTTAAAAGACCTACTTTCTGAAGAATGTTTTAAAATGCTCTCTGTCATTCACAGATTCTGGGTGGAGTGACATTAAGACACCCAACAAGTGTAATTATACAGACTAAGGTATTAGACATACTCTTTTTAAATTAACTCATTTAAAGGAAGTCTGAGGCAAAATTATTATACTGTCACATAGGGAGCCTGCATATACATAATTGCAACTGTATGAAAGACTGTTATTCAGTGAATATTAATTAAGGTTAAATATGAAAATCTTATGTTTCAAGTTTAAAATGTGATTAAGGTTAGTTAATAATTGTCATGATGAATGAAAACCACTTTTATATGGCCTTCCAATTTAAATGAGGAAATCTCCTTTAATTTATTACAGTAAAAAGAAGGAATGTTTATATTCACTGTATGTATACTATATATACAACTATATTTTAGAATAAGAAAAAGTATAGAGTTTTCCTATCAACATATTGCGTGTAATATTTCTTGTCTGATAATATCAAATATGCTCCATTCTACTCCTCTTTTGAAGATACCTACATATGGAGTTGTGGAAGGTCTGTTTCACAAACAAGAAAATTGTGATATATGTGTTTCCGTTCTGTGCCAATGTCACACCATAGTCTAGAAATTATATCACAAAATATGTGAAAATTGATGAATAGACTTAGAAGGAAATGAGAGGCTGTGGTAATTTCAGGTCAAGAGAACATTATTGTTGATCAGGTCCCCTCACAATCAGAAAAGAAAGCCAACTAAATATGGCGCAAATTAGAGGAGAATGACTACACTTCATTGCACATTAGCCTTTTTGGGTTTAATCTGTTTGGGTTAGGGCTTTAGCAGAAACCATTTTAAATAAATTCTAGTTTATTCTTGTTCTTATACTACAGCGAGAGAATATTCTTCAACTTCCCATGGTCTTAAGTTTGAATTGAGTAGAAATTCTCTATTAATCTTCTTGCTTTGTATTTGGCATAAAGATAAGTTCCGAGGAGAAGGAGACATTCTATTTTATAGAATGAGGGAATGAATCACAGAAAAAGCAATGGATAGCAAATCTTAAGGTGGATGGTTTTGGTATAGTTAATTCTTGATTGTGAACCATAATGGAGAGCAGTGTGAATATGAATGGGTGTGAGGTGTTTTTTGTTTGTTTGGTTGGTTTTTAATGGCACAGTGCTTTCCTTGTTGTCAAAGTCATATTTGAATACTGAAGACTGGCCCTGGAAGAAAGCCTGCCAGTTGATGATGAATTAAAATACTTTTCCTTTGATGCTTGCCCTGTTAAAGGCCCCATTTCAATTTCTTAACTTACACCAGGAGGCAGCAGTGAGATTGTTGGGAAGTCAAATGATTCTTTGACAACAACAATATTTTTGTATGAAGGAATGGGGAGGTGACTGGCTCTTAAAGGCTCAGAGTTGGTTTAGAGGAAAGGTAATTATTGCCTTTCATCTATCTCAATTCTTGTCCCCTACCCTAATCTTCTCCACCACCTTCCCACTCCCAGCTAGTTGTCAGTGAAATGCTCTTGGTATCATGGAGAGAATAAAACCAGAGCAAAGAAAGCAAATTAGTGGCACTTTGATAGGTGACCAGGGGGAAATAAAGATTGCTCAGGTAGCTCTTAGATGGGAAAGGTCACTCCCCTTCAGAGCACACAGATAGTCTAAAAGGCACATAGCAAGCTGTCCTGTGGAGAGCTGGGAACTGACTATACTTGGTTAGCAATTCTGGGGTCAACTTCTAAAACATTTAAAATGAAAAGGGACTCTCAGGCTTTTTACAGAATTTACACAGAAAAAGAATGCAAATTGTATGGTTTATTG